TGACTTGGTTGATGTATGTCATCGATCCCAACTGCGTGGATCGATGCTCATGATGTCAGTCATTGGATTGTCTGGTCCAGACTTGATCATTTACAGACTGCTGTCATATAGCTGGAATATTGCTGAGTGCGGCATTAAACAACAAACAAACAAACTCAACTGTACTCTCACTAAGGTCGGGAATAGGTATGTCTGGACACATCTGAGATATTTCCCATGTTGGTGGACTTCTTCTTCATTTTCACCAGGATGCTAAGTTCCTCCACGGCACCATAGAAGGATACCGCTCTGCCCTAACATTAGTTCTCCAGCATGGCAGGATTTATGTTGGAGAAAATCCTATCCTCAACAGACTCATGAGATCTTTCTTGTTGGAGGATGTTGGCACCCTGCACACTTTCCCCAAATGGAACCTCTTAATTGTTCTGTCGGCTCTTTTGGAGGATCCTTGTGAACCTTTGGCATCACCCATGCTAATACAAAAGACCAAGAAAATTGCATTCCTATTTGCTATGGCCACAATAGGCAGGGTGTCGGAACTTCATGTTCTTGACTTCTCTGGACTCATGCACTAAAGATTAGGGCTTTATTATCATAAGACCCTACCAGATTTTGTGGGTAAGAACCAGGCTACGTTGCTGGGAAGGGAAGGACACAGTACATGATCCATGCTCTCAGCAAGGGTTTGGGTTCACCTATTCAGGCTCTTTTTAGCAGCGACACAACCACCACCACACAAAAGATACAGAAAAGGTCTTATTAACCAGCTTCAGATAAGACATTACTGAGGCGATAGCAGCAGAAACCATATCTCTGTGCTGCTCCCCATAAACAATTATATGGGCTGTCTCACAGCATTTTCAACGTAGATCCCTGGTCCAAATCTTCATCACACTTTCATGCTTCAACAAAGTGCATATGTCATGATCTAACGATAAATGCAACTTAATTCACTTCCTGAGACACTTGGCTTCAAATATGGGTAGTTAAGGACGTGCAACAATATATTTTCCAACCTGATAAGTACATAGAAAGTAACATGATAAACTATAAGTAAACGTATTTGAAGGCAAGAGATTTAGGAAGCAACTTGTGTTGCAGTTTTCCAAGGATTATGACAAAATTAAGATCATCTATATGGAGGCAGCACAGAGATAGTGTTACTACATCTACCAAGGTGACTGTCACACATTGGCTTAAAACTACAATACCTGACAGTTACCGGTATAAAGAGTGAACAAGTCAGCAGCCTCCAGTACATTTTAGGCTCATGAGATTTCGACTTTATCCACCAGCCTTGATTCTTAGAAGGCAGTTGAATGATTGATTGTTTGTTTTTTAACGCCGCACTCAGCAATATTCGAGCTATATGATGGCGATCTGTAAATAATCGAGTCTGGACCAGACAATCCAGTGATAGACACCATGGGCATTGATCCACGCAATTTGGATCAATGACATGCATCAACCAAGTCAGTGAGCCTGACCAGTCTCCATGGAGCAAGTTGTTAACATCTGCCAATGCAAGTTATCATGCTCAGAGGCCACGGAATGATGTCAAGGTCTCTTGGAGTGTCGTCATACTGGGAGTAACATCATCAGATCTGAACGTGTCATCAGAACAGGTAATAATGTCATGGGCAACAGATTTTGAAGATGATGTGGAACTAAAGACACAAGATTGATTGATGACACCACAAATTTGGGAACTGGACACAAATTCAACGGTAGTTCGATGGAAGTTTACCACATAGCTTACTTATGTCCTTGGCATTATTCCAGGATTGGGCCTGGATCCCGTATTTGGGATAGTGTACACATAATCTTGGTCATGAAACTAGAACGGGCATGGTACAATTAGGTACCCCAAGATACTGTATCTAAGGGATTTAAATTTATTGATATTTAATTATCAATTTATGTGGACTGGAGTCATGTATTTGGGGTTACAGCCTTTATTAAATCCAGTAAACTTAACTATCCAGGGTATAAGGAAGAGAATTTATCAATGTCAACTTCTTTATTATGAGGAAGTCAACGTTTTGGCAAACAGTAAACTACGATTATAACAAACTCAAAGGGACCACTAAATTTTGTTTGTTATAATCGTAGAGTAATGGGCAAATGGGAGGCAGGGGGTAATTAGCACAGATGGGTTATAGCACAAATGGACAAATTGAATATATGTTCTCTGCTTCATAGCATTTATTCACCTGATGAAGGAGTAAGTATAAACTCTGAAATGTTGTGTTCCTCATAATAAGGTACATGTAGTTGACATCCATAAATTCTCTTCCTGTGTTTCATAAGGAGTTCTGAAGGTCTATTATAATGTGATGACAGCCAAAATACAGGATTTTGGTAATAATATAATAGAGGGGAGTACTCTTTGAAAAGAATAACAATGATAATTATTGAGTGATTTTTGTGAGGGATTCTAGTCCATTATTGAGGGCTTTAAGTTAGAACAATACACATCATATGATGAAACATGTATTCATAAGTGTGACAGAGTTTTTCGTCTGACCTTTGCTTTTATGTGCAGCGATTGAATCATAAGTCCATTTTTTGATAACCAGCATCAGCATTCTAGGAAGTTTTCAAGTGTAAAGGGAAAATTTTACTTTATTTTTTTGTGTTTTGGTTTTTGATTTCCGGTACTGAAAATGGGAAATTAATGCATCAAGAAATTAATGTGAGTAGCCCTGCTTTTTGAATATAAACCTAGTCAACAAATGATAATACAAGACTGTAGACTTAGAATTCCATAATATAGTATGGGGGTAATAGCAATTAGAATGAATAATATCATTTTTTGCCTTTCACAAAGTTAATAATTACTGCTTGACATGATCTAGGTTCTATAAAATCAAAAGCTTGAATTTCCAAATTTCAAATGAGATAAGTCAGGTCACCACCTAAGATTCCTAGTGTTACACGAGTTAGTGCAATCCTTTAAACGTAAATGAGAAGTGTTTTGTATTTACCACGACTGCTGTTGCTGTACTGGATAATTTCATTATGTGGATGACAAGGTTAGCAAGAACAAAGATCCTACTATTTATGGCTATTTTTCCTTTTTGTCTCCGGCGAGGTTGAATGAATGTTTTTACTTCAACTTTTGTGCGACCTATGACTTGAGAACTAGTAGATGGATTCTTTTCAAATTTAAGGAACACACCAATGACAGCCTTCTTATCATTTTCTGAGAATTATACAGTAACCTGTTTGTCTGATGTTGAGATGTGACAGTAAAACAGTTACCTGCTTTCCTGAGTTAAATAGTAACCTGCTTGCCTGATGTTTGAGAAACCCTCATCAGTGACAGCATTTTGTAAGTTATACAGTGAACTTTTCCTCATGTTTGAGAAACCCTCATCAGTGACAGCATTTTGTGAGTTATACAGTGAACTTTTCCTCATGTTTGAGAAACCCTCATCAGTGACCTAAGCCATGTAGGTTAGAAGCAATACTCGTCACAAAGAGAGTCAAAGTCCAGCAGTGAGAGAAACTTGTTATTGAGAAGATGTCAGGCCATGTAAATAATGTCAGCGCTGTTTGTGATGTCGTGGTAATACTATGAGGTCACAAGATTACAAAAGATGTATACAGTACATGAACATTCTTCAAAATGACAATCGATCTGGGGTCAAAATATTAATCAATGTCAAGTCAAGTGTACTGTACCTGGCAAAGCTTGCCGATGATGCACCAGTGCATCTTTGAATCATGCTGTTACTATATTTTACTATTGTTCTTTCCAAGAGAAACCGGCTCAAACGTTAAGGCATCAATATATCTCCGATATCGAAATTAATCTTCAGCTGATGTTGGAGTTGAGGTCGGGTGTGAGCCCTGCTCACTTTTGCCTTCTAAATGTGTTAGTGTTTAATTTCACTTGGTTATTGCCTTTATTGCATATATCACATCAACTTTCTCAACTCTCCCAACTGAATGGAGATCAGCATACTAACAGAAAAAGCAACTGTGCTTTATTTAAATATAAAAATACATTTATTCATATCAAAGCTACAACGCATTCAGAACTCTGCAGCTAGATGCATCTCTAAAGTTCCAAGATCCAATCATATCAGTCCTGTCCTCAAAGCACTACATTGGCTTCCAGTCTCCTTTCGTATAAACTATAAGATATGTATCATCACTCACGACTGCCTCAACAATAGCGACTATCCAGAATATCTCAAAGATCTTATATCCCTGTACTCTCCAGAGCGTGCTCTCCGATCCTCTGGTGGAACTCCACTGTATCAGCCTCTGTCTACTTCTGCTATGTCTGACCGTGCCTTCTCCTTTTGCAGTCCACAGTTATAGAACTCTTTGCCTTTGAATCTGAGAAACTCTGCTTCTAAGGAAACGTTTAAGTCTCTCCTCAAAACCCACTTCTTCACTTCAGCTTTTCAATAGATCTCCTGATTGTTGGCATATGTACATAGACATTACATTTTAACTTTGTCACAGCGCCAGTGAGCAACTGTCGATGGATATTAGGCGCTTTACAAATCAATTATTATTATTATTATTATTATTCTGAAATTAAATACTGCGACTTTCAATGCATATTCATGAAGATATCTCCTAGACTTTAAGGTTGTGATTCACAATTTGCACATGAAAGTTCATGCACGGCGCACACATTGGATATTTGGTGTTTGTTGGGAGCGGGTTTTTTCTCCTGCATCGACGCAAATAGTGGCCACACCCGATATTGACATTGTTAATTGAGTTGTTACACCACCCCTCATTTCGTGAGTGTGTCTGTCTCCTGTTGCCAGTTATGGGTTTTGTTAATGAATTTGTTATGATAAAAAATTATTCAGATGAGTGACCGAGTATTATGTTGTTATTTTCAATAGCATAACATTTACACCACTTTAATATCATGTTGTATGAAGCATATATATATGGTGAGAGACCTGACCACATGAATTCATTACGGAGAGATATACCAGAATCCTAACTGTAGGGATGTTGTTTTCTAGTTTGGTTTGAAAAAATGGAAGAGTCATGTAACTTCTCGCCCCCTGTCCACACGATCTGAAATAGTCCAGGACTTGTATGCAGATATCAACAAGGTGAAGCCCATTAAAGGTGAGTAGGATTTTGTAAAACTAGTGTGGGACCTTAACATGACTTTGATTTGTTCATGGCATTGAATTTAAATCTTTGCTGTTTTTAACGAGAAATTAATAATTGTGAAATGTCTTTGAAAATTGGAATATGACACATTGATATATACAATAGGATTCATATGTGTTCTTGCCAGTAAAATAGAAATAAAATTATTTATTTTTATATTTATTTTTATTGGGGTGGGGGTGGAAGAGAGCTGAAACTTTATGAAGACATGTAGGATGAGGCTCTTTGATAGACCTATGCTTGTACAGAAGAAATAAATGGATCAGCTAATCAGACTCAGTGACTTGGTTTGAGTGTCACTGTAATCTCAAGATGGGGGATGTTGCTCATAATCTCAACCACTGTTTCTTCTGGTCTAGACTCCATTATGTTCGGGCCATCATAATTATATAGCTGCAATATTGCTGAGTGTGGCATAAAACAACATTCACTCTCAGCTGACCTGAACTGAAAGTTCAAGTGAGCTTATGTTGTGGAGCTTCGTGCATTGTCCTCACTGAAAGTTTTACATTTTCAACATCTCCTTTGAAACCATAACACATATGAAGCTGAAACCTTGCATGGAAAATCCCAGCAATGGTGTTTCTAAGCATTACCCACAGGTTTCCAATCTTGTTGAAAATGTCACTTTTTTCTACATTTAGCCATTTTTTCGTGTCATCATTATCCCTAACAAAAAAGTTCTGCAGGAGATATGATAGAAATGAACTCTAGTGGTCCATATGTCCATCACATTTCCAGAACATCGCTCGTAATATCATTTACCTGATCCAGACTACATTATTTTAGGGTCATTATATAACTTGAATCCTGTTTTGTGCAATGTTAATTAACAATCAAACATAGTGAAAAGGATGTATTACTTTGTTTTGTTATCTAACAGACATGCAGTAAGTGAGATGCTGAATAACATGTACTGGCTGATGTTTCTTGCAATGACCTTTGACCTGTTGATAACCATGTTTAATTATTTCAAGATTTAATACATTGTTGTCATCCCCTCTGAAACCTCTTTCAGAAGGTAAAAATTATGTATATATATAATCCAAGCAAAGGGGGGTCTTTAATAAATTGATCTCAAAACATGTCCTCCAAGGCAGCCATCCATTTTTGCATGTTTCAGTACAAAACTGACATGCAGTAAGTATGTGGTATGAGATGAGATGAGGTACAGAAGTAGTGTGCCTGTGAAAGATGTGCTCTTTCATGTAAGATACCACAGCAGCAAATTTGCCAAAGCCCAAAAATACTTTATTTAGGAAATTGAGAAATGGCGATAATAAATCAAATAAAGTATGTCTTTGTATTATCTATTGCGTACTTGATGATGATTGGACTTTGATCTCAAGGGTATTAGACAACAATACTCCTTAATGAAGAGCTCAGGGCTCTATGATATATGAGTGTAAAGATTGGAATAGTCAAAGGTTTGCCAGAAGCACCTCCCGAGGTATATGTGACATCCAGGGATTGAAGGAGGAACTGAATACTAAGTGCTTAATGTTGATCTGAAAATACAAGCCGCAGTTTGATGCTAAAAAATAAATGGTTGTATTGATTTGTTTTAACAGCATTTCTTTCCGTTTCAGTCTCAACTGTCCGTCCAACAAACATTATATATGCCTGCTTGTTTGGTTGGTGGCTGGCTCTGTTGTACATCATCATCAGTGGACTCATGTACCTTACATACATTGGCAGATCTTATGGTGAGAAAGCTGGGATGTTATACAGGACTCCCATAAACAATAACATATCTCCTATAGTTTCCAAAAGTTGACACCTTGTTATTTTGTGAGCCTTTACAGACTTTGATATTCCTAACATAACCTGCGGGTGTTATCAGGGACATAACCAGAATCACCTCTTGGTTCAATTCTTGTAGCTCCCATATAATTCATTTTATCATACCTCCATGTCAGAATAATGAGATCTGATTGGTCCACATGATCTTGATAAAACACTATGTATCTCTCCTTGGAGTGAAATAAATTTCTCAGTGGGGAAATAAATCCCATATACCCTGCCACGAGCAACTCATACTGCACATGGATTTCTGAGAGGCAGAATAAAACCCTTATACCCGGCTTCTCAGCAAAAAGCAGCACGCTTTTTCCGAGTCAATGAAAGTCACGTGACTTGTACCCCGAGGGATCCTGTTACAAATTTTTTATCTTACCGACATGTTTTAATGTGCCTTGTTAAAGAATTAACACAAATTCAAAATTGATAGAAAGCAGCTGTTCGATTGAGCTGCAGTTAACTTGTGCTATGTCACATGACTTCCTTTGACTCGGAAAAAGGGTGTGGCTTTTTGCTTTGAAGCGGGCCTCTCAGAAATCCATGTGCAGCCTGTATTGCCTTGTGGCTTTGGCATAAGAGACTTATTCTCCTGCTGAGAAATGTATTACCCTCCGGCACGCATAAAACAAACATGGCACGCATAAAACCCCATGTACCCCTCGTGATCCTGTAAATTATAGTGTCGATTTCCCTTGGTATTTTTATGCAAGTGATAATAGAGGTGGAATCTGGTGACTAAGAGTAACTTGTAATAGCCAATGATGGTGCATTGATTGAGCCATGACAGTTGTACTCATAGTTTTGTTTGTCTTTAACATTTAAACAGATTATTCTTCAATTTCCACGAGACTGTGCTGAGATTGTCTAGCCCTGATTTAGGGAATTGTTGGATGCATGGATCCCCAAAGCCTTTGGCCTATGTAGAGATGCATCAACCATTCAGTGGTTTTCCCTTTCCCAAAAGAAAGCAGACGGGGATTATGTCATCTGTCTGGAAGTAGACAATGATTCTTACTATAACTGCAATGCATGCAGAATAAGAACTAGGTTAGCCTTCGCAGTCAAATGCTAAATGTTATCTTTAGAATAATTGTTGTCTCCCACTGACAGCTTAGGTTACTTTGAACTGTGGACATGGTGAAGTTGTTGCAAATAGTTATCACAAAAAGACACATCAAGAGATACCAATGTTTAGAATATTCCTTCCACCATTCCATCCAATCAGTGACATCATATCATATCAGAATGTTAATTGTTCTCCTATTTAGATTGAAATCAGTGACTGTCTATGTTTACAACCTAAAACACTATTTTGATTGTGTCTTTGCAAGATACTGACTAATTTCAGACTTAGTTTGATGAACACTGTCTTGACAAATGTTATGAGCCACAGTAGATCAATTGTACATTTTATGAAACAGTTGGCAATGTCCAATGGGTACCAGAATGCCCGAGGCATTGACTAGGCAAGAACAGCAGCCAGCTCAGATGCTGTTTGTGCTTAGACTGTTGTTGCTAGTACTGCCATATGCAACCATTGAGAGATGAAACAACAGTCTTGACTGTAACATGAGAACCACACACACTTGCAATAGTTTCATGAGTCAGTTATTTTTGCAGACCAACAACAAAGACAAGATGTAAGGAATCCCTCACATCCTGTTTCCCTAATTACACATGGTCACTCAGAGTCAATTCTCTAATTAGTCTTAAGTTCACTAATCTGACATATCTCATCATAACATAACACTGAGCAGTCCAGACATGTAAAAGCCAGCCAGTGTATACTGTTAGATAAACATGTTACTCTACCCCCCTGGTCAGCTACAACAACACATGCATCCATAGTTTCAAAAACCAGTAACTGACACTGAGTTACCCAGGCAGTGGCCTGATTATATATGTCAGGTAGGACATTACCCATAAAGAAATTACAATAAACAACACAAACCTGGAAGCAAATGGTATACAAATAACAAATCATAACCAAAAAAAATAAACATTATAAATATATACCACTGGATCCTAAAACAAATTAAATCTGAAGACTTAAAAGCCCCCAGTCAAATAGGCCTTAAATCAACTATCTTCATGGGGGACTTCAATGCTAACCACCCCTCCTGGGGTATCACAGATAAAATAGACCAAAAGAGCAAACTCTTTGCCAAATGGATCGAAAATAAATCCTAATACTATTAAATAACAACCAACCAACTAGGTATAACTAAAAACACCAAAGTATTTTGGTTATAGATTTAACAATCTGTACCCCTGATCTAGCCCAAAGTACTCTGTGGGAAGTGCACAAGGAGCCACTCTGCAGCGACCACTTTCCAACATAAATATCCAAACCCCAAATGAACTCCGAGAACCAAAATTCCAGAACAACAAAACCGACTGGCAAATTTCTTTGAAATTAGAGACCCCGAAAAATACTGCCAAAACATAACAGAATGCATAATACACATTAAAAAAAATAAAATTAAGCAAACCCACGGTACCTTGGTGGATTGGGGGAACTAAAAAGACCAGAAAAAAACGCAAAAGCGCATTTAATAAAGCTAAACAAAACTACGTACATCTAATTATCAAATAATGGGTAGGTTTCCCGGCGGGATAAAGCCAACGGATAAAAACGATATCTGTTTGGGTCATATGCGGATAGAGATGCAATTATCAAAGGTCAAGTAGAGACTACTTTCACTGTCTATAAACAAACATGGCGTCGTCCTCGTCATTCAGCGATCGAGTCAGAATTAACCATCGGGAATCTGGATAAACTTCAGAGATAATTGCTTTCATTATCAAAAGAACAGTCTAATATACTGAAAATCAGTGTCTAACTGTGACGTAGCTAAGGCAACTTTATAAGTTTTGGCAACTTTGGAGAAATAAATTCACGAGGCCTAGCCAAGCAGGATCAGTAGCCATATCTGTGCTTGTAGACCTCTGCGGCTTGAACCTTTCTCCACAAATTAAAATAGTTGGATTTGCCCCAAATATGTTTGAATTGTTACCTTGTTTCGTTTTGTCGCTGTGTGTACATCTGACTACACTTCTTAACGTTATGACAGGACAGACCGACTGTCAACAACGTCTGACCGTGGCCGTGACCTCTCATAGACTAGGAATAGAGTAGCTTCCCTTTGACAAAGGGCATGCAGTTACTCTAGGGGACAGACCGATGGATTGCTGCGAAAGGCAATTAAGACCAATTGTTGTTTTCGTATATGTTGCTTCGCCACTGTATAAGAAAGAGATTTCAGTTGGAACTATATTGGCTACTGTCACTGTCCGACTGACACATCACTTACCCTGTGACGTAATAAATATTAATGAGCGCATTCCAGGAAAACTCGCAATGTTTCGGTAATGTTTGTGAGAGAGGGAAAGCGACTTTGAAGCACAGAATTAAAGAATGGCATTATATGATAAAGAGGTTATCACACTTGTGTGTTTGGGGATGGTAAATATCCTGTATTAGGAATAAACACGATGTATTTAGCTCGCCAAGGCTCGCTAAATACAATGTTTATTCCTAATGCAGGATATTTACCATCCCCAAACACACTCGCGTGATAACCTCTATAGATAGCACACCAACTAAATCCTCAAGTACAAAACCTCGTCAAAAGCCAAAAACTGGGAAAAATTCTGTGAAGAAATAAATATGCACATAAATAACTCAACCAATCCGAAACAGAAAGCAAATTATCTAGCAAACAATTTCGAAGCCATGAGTAGCAAAAGCAATTTCAATATGGGATTCCAAAAACAATTACAAAATGAAAATAAATTCTCCAAATTTCCTCAAGACGATAACCTAGAAATAAACCACCCATACTCAATGGAGGAACTACTCCACGTGCTAAATAATCCACAAAAAAAGAAAAGCCCTGGACTGGACCTAACTTCAAACCAAATAATTAAACAGCTGCCCCCAAATCTTCTGGAATCACTACTAAAACTATACAATCTCTTCTACCAAAACGGTCAAGTCCCTACTTCATTGAAAGAGGCATTGGTCATCCAAATGCCAAAGCCAAGTAAACCAGCAGACGATGCTAATTCTTATAGACCAATCTCCCTAACCTCAAACTTATTTAAAATCATGGAGGCAATGGTCCAAAACAGGCTCTAACACTTTCTGGTACAAAATAACATAATAAACCAAGATCAAAGCGGTTTCAACCCAAGCTCTACCTTAGATAACCTTGCCCATTAAGATATCAAAACTGAACCAACAATATAAGGATATTCCTAGATTTCTCTAAAGCTTTCGATATGGTATGGCATAACGAACTTATTCGCTCACAAACTCCAAAAGCAGGACCCCCACCCCCCTGCCCAAAATTGACATCTCTCTCCGCCAAACTAAATATTGAAACCGACCCAAACACCGCTAAATCCACCACACAGCATACATACATGAAAAATGGCCAAATTGGTATCACATATACACAGACAGGTCCCTGACCGGACTCAAAACGCACGTGATTCGGCATCCACGTCAACAAACCTATAAAAGAAACAAATTCCTAAAGGCTCCCCAGTAACCAATCAATCTTCACAGCCGAACTAATGGGGATAGTAACAGCCCTACACAGTGCCCAAATAAGAAAAAAACTCCAAAAAACTAATTCTAACAGACTCATTTAGTGGGCTCAAGGCTATAAAAAACAAAACCACAAAAAAACATCCGAAACTAATACTTCAGATACTTAAAAGCTCTGACAGTCTCCATAAACAAGCCAAAGACATAAAAATAGTTTGGATCCCTGCCCACATCGGAGTGGTTGGTAACGAACATGCCGACAAAGCAGCTAAATCAGATCTAAAATTAGAAGAAATAAACATCAACCTTCCAATATCTGAAAACGAAATTAAAAATATTACTAAGGAAAAA